TACTCGCATATTAAATACTTTAGTATGTAGCTGTGGTATAAGTTAGCGCCCAGGTTTTGGATTGTTTCCATTTCGCACCTTTCAAGCGAGTAGGAGAGGAAGGATGTTAAAACTTATAAAAATCAGGAATTGTTTTCCTGGCAACTAATTTCTGTGTCTTGAGATGCTTTATCCTAAATTTGTATTCCATTTAAGGAAATGCTGTTCTATTTTTAGACTTGAGTCTAGGATGACACGCTCGAATACCTGAGTTCTACGTGTATACGTGTTTTGTCCTTAAATGGAATAAAATCACAGCAGGCCAATGGTATGTCAGATGTCATGTCGCTGAATCTTGTCTGGATTCACGACCATAGCAGGTCATTGCTAATAAAATGTCTTGCTACATTTGGGGTGTGTAACAGTCCGTCGTAACGATATGCCAATCAGATTCTTTCAACAAGGATATAAATTTATTGCATTTGGCGGTAGGCACACAACACACATAATATCATTCGTACAGTAAAAACATTGCATTATAACTCACACAAGGAAACTTTCGGTGTATTTATCAAGGTTTCCGCTAAGATTGCAATTCGATAAGAAACCTCCAGCTCCCTTACGTTAATATAATGTAATCGTAAGGCACGTATATTTGCTAATTAAAGATAAGTATTTCAATTGCTGCTTATGTGGGTTTTTCATTGCTTTTTCAAGGATTAACAGCCACAGGGTCGGGCTAAACCCCGTTTCATTTCAAGGAACGGCTCCGTCGTAGCCCGATTGAATTAAAATGAAAGAGTAAGTTGTGCATTATCCGTAAAAGCACGGTAAGCGCGGACAGGGCAGCAATCACAAGTTTTACAAACCCTTAGTACTAACCACGGTGCCGTGGTGTGGTCGACTACTCTGTCACGTGGTCAATCACGTGGTGTTGGTTTAATTGATCACACTATCCCATTCTTTCCCACAGAACCAATACCACAACATCGGTTCGGGGAAGAGAAAGGCTATTAATCTACAGATTATACGAATAAGCCGTTACATAATATATATTAAAATAAACTTGTATTTAACCCCCTCGTGATTTGATTGCGAAAGGGTTTGGCGTCACCGCTCACCATTTGTTTCGTACGAGGTAAGCGATTTTCCTCGCTCTTGTTAAAAGTCGCCGTTAGAATTATGCGCATGTCACGTGACTTGTGCTTCAGTGCCGACTTAGCATATATTATGTATAACATATAATATATTATATAATATATATATATAGTATATATCAGATCAATCCGACAAAAGTAAAGGTTTTAAACTTTGTCCTGGTACGCGTAAGATTGTAAAGTTTACCATTAGGGTAGTCGTCTGTTTGTACGGGCTTTTCTTGTAGGTCATCTTTTCCGGTGTTTAAGCTTTCGACATAAGCTCTGTTGAAATCATGATTCATGACGATTGATAACCCTAGATTCGTAAGCTGTGGTTTCCTTGAGATCTTTGAAAGGAAATAAAACTTGTCATTATCCCACTAACATTTTAGTGATTAATAATCGTCAGGAACAAAGTTTAACCTCGATCTTCTCACACAATCTGAAGTCTATTAGAAGTGCACGGACAATGAGGATGAAGTCCACCAAGTTTAAGTTACCCTAAAACATTTGCTTGTTTCTCGGACTCCAGCTGTAATTTTCCTACCCGCACTAACTCGGAGCCCTATTTTAGTTCTCATATTTTGGATTAAATTCTCATCTAAATTTTTAACCCCAAGAATTTTAAATTCTCTAATTCAGTTCATCACTTACTTACTTACCAATCCGTTCTTATCGCTTTAAGAGATTCTTTTCATTTTAAATTCCAAAGATAAAGTTAATTAGGCTGCGTTTTTAGTTTGTCTCTGGCTTTTAAAAATTAAAAATTAAAATTCCTGAATTTGGATTTTCGGTGGAATAGCCTTGCATTTCTTAGTCAAAGACTCTTCACTTTCAGAGAGAGTCCTGTGCCTTTTCCTTTGAGTCAGTGTTGATCCGTAAGTACTTTGAACCAGATTTTAAACAGTTGGATTATTTGGAATGATGATGTAATAACCATGAGGGTATTTATTAAATCTAATCCATGCTGATATAATATTATAGTTCTGCTAATGGCTCTACCAGTCTCACTAAAACCTACCTGCCATTGTAGTCTGAATTATCGCGTCTGGTCCTAATCCCCATCATCGGTCTTGGTAGATCGAATAAAATTTCCCCGACCTGGTCGCCATTCTGGTCAATATTTGTGCGTCAGCGGTCAAGTATATTTACTGATTTGTCAACTGCATCATCACGTGTTCCCTGAGTGTTGGAGTCCGTTAATTCCTGCGAAATGGGATAGCCTAAATATCTTAAAGTTCCATTATAAATCGCATTATTTTGGAATTTATGGCGAATTGGTCAATGTTTTGTTACTTGAAGGCTCTTTGACGTGACTTTTCTATTTGGCCGTGGGTTTCCTAGCGGTGCCTTTGCCGGACGACGACTAAAACGCCGACTTAAATCAATAATTAGTCATGGTCATGAGACCGCAGGTATTGCAAATTTAATGTATAAGTAATCGAATTTTAAAGCGTCTTAGCATGACTGAAAATTTCCATTTAATCGATGTTAAAATTAATTTGTTATAAATTTGAGATCACAAGTGCTCAAAAACATTTACCTTACTCGGGATTATTATGACCGGGATAAAGTGGTGGGTTTAGGGTAATTTCGCCATATTTTTCCCGAACCACATTTTCACCGGTTGTTAATAAACCCGCCTACTCAGCTTTTAGGGTTCACAAGGGGTATAGGTGCTCATATTTTAATCGTTGTCTTATATTCACTAAAGAAGACTATTGGGACACTTGTTGTAGGTTTTTCGACTTCATTTGGCTAAAATTGCAAAAAATTTACCTTTTTGCCCAATTCTTGTCATATATCCTTATTGTCAAATTTGATTTAAATAGGCCAATTTTTAATTTATTAGGTATTGACTATCTCTACATAATGAAATAGGACTCAAAGTAAAAGTAACAGTTAAATTAAAACTTGAATTAATTAAAACTGATGAAAGGGATGATCCAGATGAAGATAACGATGATGATTACAACTTATTGGAAGACTAAACAGCTCTCCCTTTATCTTAATATCGATCTGGTTGTTACGCTTCAAATGTTAAAAATTATTTTCCATCTAGTTTGATTAACCACGAGTCATTATTTCTGTCTACTTTCAACAATTATTGATAATTCGACTTGTTTCACAAGTTTTAGCAATGCGAAAATTTCTAAACTTGCTTATCTCTAATAAGGAAATTTACATCTGAGACAAAATTTTTGAATCTAAAATTGAAAGGTTGGACACCGGTAAAATGGCGACCGGGAAAATGTGGTGGGTTTTGAGCAATTTCGCCATATTTTTCCCGAACCATATTTTAACCGGGCGTTAATAAACCCGTCGTAATAATCCCGAGTAAGGTAATGCATATTACACACAAATATTGAAATACATACGAATGTTCATTTCAACATATTTTGAGCTATTGAACCATGACTTGATGTTATGAAACGTAATAAAAACAATCATCATCACATCTCCAATAGCCAGAGACTAGACAGGGTTATTGTAATAAACCAACGATTGTGTCTGGACCACCTCGCAGTACATTACATTAGTACCAAAACGCTACCGTACATTATTTGTTATATTTGCACATGTTTATTTGAAGTTGAGCCTTGAGGATATATTGGCACAATATTTGTTACCCTATCAGAAGGCACGGTGTAGCTGACATCGTCACACTGAAAGTAAATCACCCCAAGTTGATGTTTTATCCTTTAGGCAAACTTTGTCACATAACCATATCCTAATCAGGCGATGAAATCGCCTAAATTCGGCCGGCACGGCAATGTTTACATTGTCACTTGCTGCCGTATTTGACCAAATGTTTTGTTCACAGGCAGCACCAATTCTTATTGTGGCTGCAATCGATAAATACAGGGGGGGGGGGGGGGGGGGGATATTTATCAGTCCACACCAATTTCAGAACTTCTGACAATACTTGGTTGATAAACGTCAAAAACCCCATTTTTTATTTGTGCCAATATCCTCAACTTCAAATGAACGTGTCCATATATAGTAATACTGAAAGTATTAAAACATGATGAGTATGTTGCAATTGTTTGCTACACTTTAATGCTTGTTTACTAGTATGACAGGAAAGAATCTATCAGCATATCGTGCAATATTATAGTATTATGATGTTTTTAAAAAAAGCTTGTGACGGTTTGTTTACACGCTTCTTATTGAAGTTTTATAATAAATGAGAAAATCAGGTGCATCGAGTTAAACACCAACTAAATCACTGTTACGTTATAGTCACTAACTTATAGTCATTAGTCATCAAATTTAATCGAAAAGTATTTGTAGCGTCTTAGAATTACTCAAAAATGTCAATTCAGTTGAAGCCAAAATTTGTCAAATTTTGTCGTTGCATTCCTCTTAAACGAACGTATATATTATTTAAACAAATAACGATTTGTCTATTCTATTGGACACTATCTGAAGTATTATAAAACACTTAACACCACGCAAGTTAACCACTCGCGAAGAGCTTTAAGCTTATGTGTTATAAAATTTGACAGCAGCATCGAGTGCTGCAAATATTTATAAGTAAGTAAATTCTAACACATTTTACACGACAATATATTATAATATTTTAAAATGTACTGTATGTACAGACGTTTAAGCTATTGAAGCATGAAAGTTCATTGGTAATCATCATAACATTATTAATCTGCACATTATTAGTATATTGCACTCTTGTTTGCTACAGTTTTTTGCTTGTTAGTTAGTGTGACAGAAAAACTTAAAACCAATAATGACACAACTTGTTGTGCAGATTATGCCTATGGAGTATTGTTAATATTGATAATAATTGTCAAAAATAAACACTTAAATAATAAAGTTTAAGCGTTCAAGTAATGGTATCGTATAACATGTTACTAAATAAATATATATTATAAGGTAGGACATGGAGAGATGAAGAGCCCTGATGACGGAGGAGACAGAGGGAGACAGGTGGAGACAGATGGAGGAGACAGAGGAGGAGTTGAAGGACTCCACCTCGGGCCTGTGGGGAAACTACCTCGGTCAGTCTAACACTTCTGTTTTTTGCATGAAACCTTCCAATTTTATCTTTACCAAATGATCTGTTTTTGAAAAACTTACCTTTTATGATTGCTATTCGTAACTTTTGGCACATTTGAGCATTTGACAGATTTCTATTCTCAATTATCTGCCTAATATAACTTACGGGCCCGAACATTATACTTTCTTAACTCTTACATTTTATCTACTATTTGTATCTTAATTTGGTTCCAATCGTATGACTCTTTTTCTTACCCAATTTTTCACCCTGATCTAGTCTAGTCATAGTAGTCTCAGGTATGTTTCATGTGATATTTATAATGTATGTGACCTGCAAGGTATCCAGTGCATGTGCGCATCGTGCATGTTCTTATTTAACGCTACTCGTACACCATTATATTTCATCCCTCAATTTGATTTGTTGAAAAACTTTCGTAGTACTTAGTGCTATCTGTTGGAAACCTGAAGTGCCGTTACTTGACTATAGGAATGTTTTCTGCGAAGACAGGTAGAAATATGGACCTGGTCTACCAGACAAATCTTTTGTAAGAAATATGTGGTATTTTCAAGTTTCACTCCAGCTAGGCTGTATGCTACTATGCTAGAATCCCCTCGTTCAGACCTGATGGTTTGTTTTTGACACTAATTGTCTGCAGGTAGTTGTTGATACCTTTGACCTTAAATTGTTGTAACTCAAGAGATTGTTTGCATATGTCTAATTATTCTTTTATGGTAACTTTGATTGTAACTTGCACGGTACCGCACGGTAAGATTATGGTAATTTCTGCATGTCAGTATGTTTAACTTAAAATGTCGCCGTTCTAAGTTTATTCTGCCTTTTTTTAGACCCGGAGCAAAATTATAATTTGTATCGTGTCCCCCTTTTGTTATGCGCAGCCTCTTGTTTTAGCTCCTCAAACCGTAGAGGCGTACAGTTGAACCCCACCTCTGAGCCTCTGGCTCTCCTCTGTTACTGTTAGTGATTAACTACAATCTGTATTCTGTCACTTCAAAACAAGTTCATAAGTGAGCCCAGTTACTCTCAGACATGTTACCACAAACCAGTTACCAGACCAATTAGTGTTACCACTTTTAGTGTTACAACTTTTAGTGTTACCACTTAGTGTAACCAGCTGCACAGCCGTAGTAACTCCACCAGTCACCTTCCAAACTGCCCCGACCCTTCCAAACATCCTCTCTAGTGATCCCTAATTGGCCATACTTTTCCTAATTGTTTGATACTCTTTTGTGATAGATTCCCGAGGGTTCCTGCGGATGTAAAATTCGGGCTTTTAAGCTAAGCACTTTCTTAAAGTTCTTAATAATCAAACTGTCTGAGTGTTAACTTGATTTAGGGATTCCGAGCTCTTTTACATGGATGTAATCAAATGTAGAGTGTATACACTGTTGTGTGTAGCGGGTACTCCCCGGGTTATGACTTCACGGGGTGTACCACATGTCATCTGTTGCAAATACCTTGCTGCCCTTCAAATGCATATTGACTGACTGATCCGTCACCTCCCTTTGGTGTACGAGGTCTCATTTTGTTAGAGTGGCCGCTCAATCTCCCTCACAGTGGGGGTGGTGGCATTGCCTGTTGCCAAGTGTTCCATGAATTTCAGCTATTTACACAAATATTCCGCGATCTTACTGTGCTGAATGCGCGGCAAATATTTGTGTGGACATGGATCGTGGATTGTGGACCTTGGGTATAATACTCTGTCAGGATTCATGTCATCGGGAATCACATTTGGGTACGCTGATTTTCTATTTTCGTCGGTTGGTTGGTGTAACAGATCAGTCCTAAAATAAGAGCCACAGCTTCATTTTCTATTTTTAAAAGTCTCGCCCTTTCATCGTAATGGCCGCTTAAAAGTCCATCACAATTCTTGGATCAATTACATTGCAAAGAAGACCTGGAAATTTTACTTCAAATTAAATTCACACTTAATTTGCGATGCTCTATCACTCTATGGCCTGTTCAATGCTTCAATGGTATATAATCACATATTATAATCGACCTGCAGTAACCCTTCTGTAACATCCCATGCATGGCTCGAATATTCGTACGGCGAAAGAATCTTTGAACTGTCCCTGCGTGGCTGGGTGCCTAGTTGTTAACTTTGAACCTCCATATGCGGCTATACTAATGGGAAATAGCTTGAACAATCACGGCTCCTTATCTGAACTGTAATTGGTTATGCATACCAACTCGGACTGTGCACTGCTGAAATCCCTGCATAGCACTTCAAGGAATTCCAAGATTGGTTGGTACGGGATTTTGCTAACTCCCTTTCGTGACGGAAACGTCCTCTAAAACTATGCCAATCAATCAACACAAAGTCGGTAATGGCTTAATGGGAATCAACGTCAGTTTTTTCCCTCCCAAATTTGCCATATTGTCCATAAAATGTAATTTTGTCTGAGACTGGTCATTGATCGTCCCTTCTCGACTGATATAACTCGTTCAGGAGCGATTGGACTTGGTAACTGCTGTTATTAAGTAAGTTCACGGTTGGATCTAAATTTTGGGAGAGTTACTGTCATGTATCATTATCGAGCTCGCACACAAATATTCCCATGTATATGTGATATATTCATCATGCCAGAGGAATCGAGCGTACCGGCTATGACTTGTGTTAATTGTGGTCTGAGACTGTCAAAAGTTAAACTTCTGCTCGTTCTAAATGTATGGTGGAGGTAAGGTATTTCTAGTTAATGCAATGAAATGTGACCTATATCTGGACCTATATATTAATTTAAATGCATGGTTGTGACACAGTTTGCAAGTCACAGCTTTTAAAATAAAAGGCGAGGCGAATTGTAAAACACGTTGTAACATTTCGGAGATGTTCAAAGGATTTGGTCGTAAACGTGACGCGCGAGCGAATTAAGCTGTACAGCATGTCATTTTGACCATCTACTGCAACACTATTTGCGCGGCGTAGATAGATAATTTATTTTGCTCCATTTTGGAATTTTCCCACGAGGTAACACGATCATGGTCATGCTTCGTATATTTTGTGACTTCACGATTGGATACCATTTGATCAAACATGGAACAAGATTCTTGGTTCAAGAAGTTGGCTGGGAGCTAGATGACGCTTAACGTTGGCCGAAAGAGGGCATGGTTAGCCAAATTGTTCACGAGAACCAAGAAGTTCTCACCGTTCACGTACAGTGTATTATATTAATGGTTTGACACTGTTTGTGTATTGTCATTATCAGAAATGACCAAAACATATGGCACCCCAATGGAGTATCAGCTGATGCACTATTGAAATCTTGGAAACTGAAACTTCCGTATTTGGACGCTGGCCAACAATTTTAATGGAACGATCACGCTGTACCAGTGAATGAGCTATCACGATCTTGAGAACTTCCGGATCATGCATAAAATATGAGGAAGTGGACACTGTCCAACTGATTTCATCAAATTTAACATTAGATTCCAGTGTACAGTTTTGGGTTCAAGAAACAGTTCGGAAATCATCTATTTCAGTGCTCCCAAGTGAACCAGATGGCCTTAAATTATGTTCAGGAACGAGACATGAATATAAGGTTTCTGGCATTGGATTATTTTATTTACCACCAAATTCACAGTCCTGAATGTTGACGTTCATTATTGTTACCTACAGTTACCATTGAACTCGTAGCTAAGGAATGCGATCAAAACTCACTACGAAAATGAGATTAAGTACTCACACATGCCCTGCAGTTGAACTATGTAGAATTTAATAACTGGATCGGCCACTGAAACGTAACCTCATTTCCTACGATCCATAAAAATATCTTAAAAACTGGTCAGGAAGTACGTGGTTCTGAAAATGGTACGAGATGGTTCGTTCTCATGACATTTAATAAGCTCGGAAGGATGTTTAGTTAACACTGTCCAGTTGCACAAGGAACTGAAACTGCTACTGTCATTATGAATATTGAATATGTTGACATATTTTGTACATTCGGTGGCATAATGCGAGCCTTTAGAAACCATCCACCATCCATTTTTGTGTGTATGAATTTCCACGAGGGACTTTTTTGGTGAACAAAGGATGTACAATTTTATATGACTCAGTGACCCATCAAGCATTTCTGTTGGCGGAGTGTTTGCACATTGCACAAATAGGTTTCCACATGTTATTGGGTCACTTTGCGTGCTTGTAAATTGTACCCCTTATATTTGTTTTCTTTGATGATTGCATGTCTGAAGCAATGTGTTATTGCTTTACTTGACATCTTTCTCTTGAAAGTTGTCGACTATCCTCCTCTCATGAGGCGAGTTTTGGTTTGCAGCTGAGCGACTTCAATTCTCTCCATCCTCAGACATTTGTAACCTTTGAAGTTTCAAGTTGGTTCTGTTTTAGTCACCTACTTAAAATTCCAGTCATAATACTACGCGAAAATAGAAATACCTGGGACGCTTTCAAAATACCATCCTTTTTAGGCAGCACCAAAAGAGCAGGAGTAGAGGTGAAAATTGGCAATTATTCGGAAATCTTTGAAAGTATGATTCAGTGAATAGCACCCGGTATGTGACCATTGTTTGAATCTGTTTAAAAAATGTATGCAAGAGAATATCTAATCGGATCATTATTGAGCGATCACAACGGTTTAATGTTTCTCTACTTCATGAATTGTTATTCTCTTCACCCTGAAGTTTAACTTGCTGTTTGTTGGTTTACCTTTGAGAGGGTCCGGATCAATAATATTCACATACGTACTTATCTGTTAAACTTTGTCTGATTTTGATAGAGCGCCTCCTCTAGACATGAGACCCCGACCTTCGTCCTAGAGTCCCGACTTTAGTCACTCCCATATTATAGTGATATAGTGTAACACCCGGTACATAACAACCATACCTTACTACAACAACAGATGTGCAGGAACAAGTTTTATCAGTGAGGCGTATATTGTACAGTTGTTATGTAAGATAACTCATCTCCTGGACCTCAATGAGGGGGAGACCACTTTTCTCCTGAAAAATTAACTAAAACGGTCACCCCCGGCCCCTTGGTACACGAGCTGATGCGTTCCAGTTGTACATAAGAGTATAAAATGTAATGTGTGTTTGTAGGTTGCTTAAAATTACATAATATTCTCAAGTTTATTTAGTTGGAACTCAGTGCTTCTTTGCTCGTGTTGCAGGTGGTCAGAGTGGACACGTGGCTTAGTCACGTGAGACTTGTTGTAATACCATGGTCATGGTACCTCCTAGGAATTGTTATAAAACCCTTTTTGCAGACTTTTAGAGAACTCTACTTTTAATAGAAATCCTGCTGCATGTTATTGGATTTTAGCATGCTTCAATGAAACCTATAAGGCACTAAAATGGGTCGGCTCAAACTTGAAATTTGATCGTAACAACTTTCCAATCAGGAAAATCATTCCAGGCTCTTTGAAGTTGGGCTCCTGAATTAAGAGGTCCGGCATCAGGACCATTTTATGTTGTAACAGTCATAATATGAGATTATGAGAAACTCTCTTTCTCTCTCCCTCCGTACATTCACTCCTCGACGGTCATAAGTTTATTTATCAGAATTCAGTATACGTGCTGACACGAACTTCTGCTTTTATAATTCAATTAGTCTGATCAAAGTTTAAACACTGAGCTATGATGGAAGTTGTTCACGTAAAAGCCAGTCTCTGGGCAGTGAGCGGACTTACCAACAACTCATCGGTAGTAACCATGTTCCCACTAACCACCTACTACCGAGTTTCAACAGAGTAGATGTGTCTCCAAGGGAAAAAGAGTCTGTGTCTCCAAGGGCAACAGAGTCTGTGTCTCCAAGGGCAACAGAGTCTGTGTCTCCAAGGGCTCGTAGCCCTGTCGTATCCGTCTGATTGCATTACGGTGATCAGTATATAGCTTTGTCAGCGTACTTTTAAAATGTTTCAGTTTCAGTGTACTATCTTAATCGTAGTAATGCAGCTGTAGCGATAATTAGACATGACAGGGCTCGCTGGATATTCACTGGATATATTTTATAATTATGTCGGATAATTACTGATATCTGAGTTTTCCTCAGAATCCAACGCATCATGTCGCCAAATACACATGTCACCATGATAGCCTTTTAAAAGCCAAAACAAAACGTGCTTCCAGGCCAATTCAAGAACTGTGAGAATGTGTGAAGCTAACTGTAGTGTACCTGCAGTCTGCACAGTGCACCTGTGTCATCATGTAGCAGAGTAGTAGGTACTTCCAAACTTTATTCCTCGTTTAGTTGTAACTCTGGTATAGTTTGTGGGTGTAGCAAGTCGGAGAAGTTTCTCAGCCTCAACTCTGACATCTGTGTGCGTGATCTCACTCATTATTTTATCGGGTTTTTGTCATCTGGTGGCGGAGAGTGGTGCATGGTTACCCCCTCTATGCGCAGAATTCGATCAGAATACATTCACCCGGCATTTATTAACCTTAGTAACGGGTCAAATTCATACCCCGGGGAGTTATGTTGGATGACTGATATTATTTTTATCTTGTTCCGAGTCAGTGGTGTTGTTTATGAGTTAATGAGGCTCCTTTGTTTTTATGCTCTGATCGGGAATTAAAAGATTTAGGACGTCGTGTGGAAACGAGAAGTCACGTACTTTTCACCTTTTCGTTATCGTCCTTTTCTCTTTAATCTTCGTTTGCTCCCAACCAAAAAATGTGTAATTTTTAATCTTTTTAGTTTCGTTTATTCGACAAGCTTTTACATATTTTGTAACTCATGCGAGAAAAAACTTTGGTTATTACACACAAACCTTGTTGCGTTGTAAAGAATTGCATCTACGAATATTTCTAACCTTGGATAGATTAACTTTGTAGCTTACAATGGGAATTAATCTCAAGAAATAAGCTTAATTAATGAACTTTTTCAGGGCCAGGAGATGTCTCAGCAAACGAAGAGTCCGACTCTGACTCAACCTTATGTGAGTCCTCCTTTTATCTACTGTTTTTATATAATTAATTATATAATTATATAATTAACCTCTACATGCCACGCCTTGCTTTGTAACAGGTTTCTGTTTCCCCTATTTATAGTGTTTAATTAATTAATACCCGTTGGGGGCCGGCAGTAGGTAAAGAAAGAACCACTCTTCATGAGGCACACCTTACAAACCATATTAAACAGGGAGATTACATAACACTACTACTACTACACTGATATACCATGTATTCTAGTCTCTGAAATAGTAATGTAGCCTCCTAGAAACTTCTGTGACTATCACACCACTGCCGCTGTGATCAGCTGCTCAGCTCTTACAGTTACAGTTTTGTTCGAGATTGGAATAAAACTACGTGGTATTATGACGTATATTTTGATATTTGATCCGATTAATATTCGACCATTAAGTAGTTAACATCTTTTGAGGAGTACCGGGTGGTCGCGTATGATGACGTCACAGTACCATGTGACCAGGCTCAGTCGGTTCTCACTAAGTGAACCAGTATGTGACCAGTATATGACCAGGTCCAGACAGCTAAGTAGTAAATATTCAGCTACGTAACAGGGATAACAATAGTCACCCTATCTGTCCATCTTGCTGCATATAATTACTCCGCAGATTGATTTTGCCTATCTGCCTCTATATCCCTGCTAATCCTGGCACAAAGAAGATATGCATGGTTTTTAACAATGATTCATTTTACTATGACACATGCTTGTCGTCATAAAGCCGCCTTGTCGTCATAAAGAGACCATCGCACTACGTGAGAGGACCAACAATAATAAAGTTCTGTTTAAAGAGATCTAAAAATAGATGTTAACGCCCCACGATTAATATGCTATAAAGGACGGTTCTTTAGGAGGTGGAGGAATGTTTTCAGTATTTTGACATGTTCAACTTTACTTAGCCACTTGGTTCATGGTTGATGTACTTAGGAACAAGACTTCCGGCAATAAAATAAGTTTATCGTGGTAGCCTGAGTTAGGCCGAGAGCTTGTGGTCCTCCTCCAGAAGTAGGTAGGACTTATCTGAAGGAAACTTTGTGAGCTCGACAATTCAGGGTTATATTGTAATCGTGTGCTATCGTGGAACATAACTAATCGGCTACATGGGGGTTCGGTATTCGTACTACTTCAACCCAAAATATTTAAAACATCTGTTGTCAGCTGTGACTTGTGTGACTAGTGACATAACACTGTTTACCACTATAAGCGCGCGTCTGGGTACCACAACTGTAAATTAGAATTTAATGTATCCACGGCGTAAAGTCCGGGGTTGGGCTGCTGGTTTGAGAACTTTCAAATCTCATGGTTCGGAAAAATGCCGGACATACCACTGACCGTTACAAATTCCTCTAGACGTAAGCAGACGAGAGAGGATGGGAAACAAGAAGTCCCGACAGGATCTGCTAGGTTACGACCTCAGCAGCGATACAGATGATGATGATGGCGAGGAGGAGACAGATACGGAGGAGAAACATGACAAGATGAAGAGCGAGATTGAGTCCCCGATGATTACGTCATCACCAGACATCATGACGTCATCACAGCAGTACGCTGACAACCTGAGAATGTTCAACACTACCCGGAACAAGGATACAGAGGCTGAGGAGGATGTCGGGGACTTGTCTAGGTAGGATACAATTAATGTCAGGGTATCGTTCTATAAAAACGGATATAATTCTCCCAAATTTTGGTATCGATGTTAACTGTTAATTCCCTTTTAATTGTGTGTGGGGTGGAAGATGTGATATATCAGATACTTTCCTTAATCCTTTTGTTCATTATTATTTAACATGGAGCTCGTGAATAATATAATATGTTGAATATTTTAAACGACCGTTTAAATTTTTTGTCGTATCTTCTGACAATAATTTGTTAGGTTTGGCTCTTAACCACGGTGTTCCCTCAATCGTTACCTTTATTAACTCGAGTCACGTTGTCCTTCGATCGTACCTGAACTCTCCAATACTGTTTCCAGACTTCAAACTGTTATTTTTGTTCCAAACCACGATCCCCCGTGTACCTTGAAGTGAACTTTAGTGAGCATTTTAAGAATTATCCGACTCGTGACGTCACATTACCGGGTAATTCAGAATTTAGTTGATGTACAAGGCACATGTTGAATTACACATCGTATACTCCCACACCGAGGGAACCTACCTCTCTCACCTGATCGTGTGTCCCTCCAATTGTGAGGGGTCTGGTAGCTCAGACATACTAATTACACGGCGCCGGGAGCGTAAGATAGATCGGGCACTTCAGACGATCGGCTTTAGGAGTGGGGACTGGGGGTATTGTTGTTGTTAGTGTGATGCTGCTTTGTTTTGGAGTACAGCTGGTTGTGATGTCTGGTTTTAGTATTGGAGTTTGGGACGTTATTTCGTGTTTATTTCTTACTCTCTCTAAAAGTGTTGTGCTCTTCTTCCAATTCTGTTTAGTATGGTGCATGTTGAAGGTACTTTATTTTTCATTACAATATCGATCTGCTATGTTTATCGGTCTATATTTAATGTTTTTGAAGAAATGGAGGAGGATGTAATGTGCGAGTAGCCAAACATTTTTCGGGACGAATTATCACTTTATCCACTTAATTGAACCATTGTCATTTTCTAATTTCTAATTTCTTATATTAACAGTAATCAGTAATGAGGACATTGCCCAAAGTGACTTAACTTTAATTTAAAGTTAACTCACTATGGGAAATGTTTAAAGTAACATCCAACGAATTAAATACAACGCTCACTGTAGATTTTAAAGGCTGACCAAATTAAATCTTACAACTCTTATTAAATTATGCACTTACAAAATTGTCGGCAATTGTTAATAACACGGATCGTCTTAGTTGTTGATTTAAGGGTTACGGGTTAAAAGATCTTCTGATTTAATTTAAAATCGGAATAATGATCCTACTAACTTATAACATAAGCTAATTTTGATTTTAAATGACCCTGATCGTTTTGTGGAGGACGTGTTTTTATAGGGCCTGCTCGGGTTTCGAGGAAATGGTTGCTTGTAATGAGATTATCCTGATATAGAGCTGTGTGCGAACATTGTTTGGTTTTGATGTGCAACAAATAAATACTAAGGGTCAAAGGAGACCTTCGAGAAATGAGTTACTCATTGAATGAGTAATACTCCAACATTTGAAGAGGCCGAACACTATTCAGGTCCGAACATTTATTATCGATCGGCCATGTGCATTGTGCATGACCAATTTGTCCCCGCTGTTTATCCGTCCCGGTTTTTATGAAACATTTTGCTCATTTTTTATCGAGTTTGCCTGTTCTAAATCGGTTAACATCCCATTACAATCGGAATAGCCAACTAGCCCACTATCATTAGTCGCATCAGATCAAGTTACCAGTTCTTCGCTACAATCTGGTAGCCACAGTTCGGCCAGCCAGACTGCGACACTATAACATGATCGGATCTCGGTCTATCCGTACCGTTATCTAGACTTGTCGAGGTCTTGTTATTTTGTTTCCGCTTGATCCTTGTTCGCCACATCGCATGTTTTCTGTCACATGCGTCCTGTTATGTTTTACGGTTTCTGTGATAAGTAGTATTGCTGTAAACGAGATCTCACTTATTTGTCAAACATTGCCGGGGTCTACTATACTGAGCTCGGTACCAAAGCAATCCGTTTAATTGCAAGCTGCGATGTTTTCTTAACCCTGGTAACCCGTGATATCTCCCCTGAGCGATTTGATTTGATTTGAGTGTAGTGTAAATACTTGTTATAGTTCGAACCTCAAAATATAAAGCTCTCACTCCTCACAATATGTTTCCAATCAGTGCATTGTTGAGGGCCCCCGTACATGTATACAGTTTCATTGTATCATGAGCTCTTTACAGCGCGTTCTTTGCTTGTTTTGGATATAAATGCTCGGATGGCAGAGTAGTGCACCTCATCTGGTCATCATCACTACACGTCCCTGCGTATGGTGTACCGACCTCATACTCTGCGCAATATGGGGCTCAGGGGCCGACCTTCACTTGGTCCTTCGTTGCGAGCTTTCATTCCATCTTTTTCCGCGAAATCATGCGATTGAGATCAGTTGTTAAATTAAGTGCGATCTTGTGCGAATTGTTATATTCACAATTCTCTATGCATGATCGAGGTAAGCGATAACATAAATCAAAGGCAATTTTTAAATCTAGATATTATGATGAACGCAAGCTTGTTATTGATTAAAGATTAAAAATTGATTATACAGTCACATGTATCAAGTTCACAGTGACTCCATGTACATGAAGGCCCCAGTTTGACTGCTGTAGTACTCTATCCTCATCGCTACTCAGCTCGTGCGGACAATGGATCAGCTTCACCTGGTCCTCCTCTTCTTTCCTTCATGTATTATGTATCAATATGTCTTTGTGTTTAGTATTCCAGGTGCAGATGCTCATTGGAACCAACTTTTTAGATTTAAGATGTTATAGCCCGTAGCTCTGGGTCGTTAAGGAACCATTCACATTAGTCTTGGTGCCATGTTTTACTTGTGGCGACAGTGCGGTTTGCCATAATATTCCATAATAATTTCTTTAATGCGGTATTCTTCAAGTTCAGCCATATAATTATCAGGGAATTTTAAATTTACATGTTCGAGAAGTTCACGTTTTACATGCGTGAGGTTTTTGCGATTATATATTTTTCAGAATAATTTTATCGCCATCAATAATCTTAGGTATTAGGTAATACTAATTCTGAAACCTCAAATTACGACTCCGTTCGATCGAATTATACTTATAGCTTTATAGATTATAAGATTTAATACTTTGCTCTATTTACGTCGCGCACCTTTCTCCGAAATTTTCTGAAACTGTTCTGACCTTTCAATCGTTCAAATCTCATTTAACCGCTGCGTGGCTTTTCTATAAGTATCTGTTTACTACTTAGAGTTAGCGGTTCCTCAAACTCGTTCACTTATTGCATTAGTATTTAGTCGTCCGTTGCTGCTCGTTATACTGTTTTATCAGGCCATGCGATACAGCCACTCTAGAATAAGCAATAGTATATAACGAAAGGAATTAGCTGCCTTGTATTCTGAGCTGTATGTAAAATAACAAATTAGATAACGACCAAGACTCTGTTATATTAATTGGTTCTGTCATCACGGGAGAAGGAGATAGAACCAACAGATCACATGAGCTGATCCTGTCATGAAGTCTAATTCGGAACTATAAATCGCTGATTCGTACGATTTAGCTGGTAGATTTCAACTGCTCATATTCTCTATCTCTCCCTCTTGGTATGGTGCTTGTTCGTATCTTTAAATCTGAAACGTAACGTCGCTTCTTACCCCGAGATTTGCCAGCTTGATAACCACCAAGCTCCGACAGAAGTAAATCAGGGTAACTTCACTACCCTAACTAATCTACCTGATAACTATATGATTGACTAACGCGCCACCTCCACACACAGTCTGATAAATTCTTAAAACGTGACGATAACACTTATACTTTTACTTCTGTTTACTGTCTTGCTTGTAAAACAGATATAATAATTATACCTTTGATGTTTAGAGGTTTAGATTAATGGTGCTTAGAAAAGTGACGTTTGTTGAAAATATATGAGCTTCTTCTTGATGTTAGAGTTGAGATTGAGGTGTTTGTGAGGGGTTTGAAATTTAGAGGTTAGCTTCAAGTTTGAAGAAAGTGACTGTCGGAAAATAAGCTGTCGGAATTACCGTTTAGATCAAAAAGTATTCAGAAAAGTGAGAGGTTCTTTGAAACGATCTCCCATTTCTAAAGAACAAACGTTCCGCATTGTGGACACGTACGTCCGGGAATACACCGAGTTCTTTCTCCTTTCCCGGTCCTTTATGCTTCGTATTTCCGATATGATTCATTTATTGTCGTTGTGATATATCATGATTATTTCCACGGAATATATTGTGTTGATATTAATTTGCCTGGCAGGAATGTTCCCCCTGGTAAGTGACACATATATCGCCTCGTCGGTAGGATTGATCGTTGCCTCGTTGACCGAGTAATTTAATCTACAGTACCGTGTTCTGTCATGTTAACTTTCTCTGATCACGAATCTGCTTTCATTATTATATTCCCGGACCAATCCCCTTCCTCGTCAACCATCACGTGACCAACGAAGCCACGAAGGGTTCTGTTATTTAACGCAAAGTGATTCTGAGTCTGAGACTAGTCAGGTTTATGAAGATGTGCCCGCAATTTCATGCCACATTACATCATGTGCATGAGTCTGTGTGAGCCACCTTGACCACGGTTGAGGTTCACAAGTTACTCCCTTGTTATAGCTGGACAATATCTGTGCAGAGCTGCATGAGTTCGTTTAGACTTTAGTTACCTGCTAAATTGTTCATTGGAAGCGAAAAATCTCAGCCAGTATGACGTTTGGAGTGATATTACGAGGGAATCTGGATTTGAGCTGAACGCTTTATTTGGGAATTTAGTGCTGAATGCAACCAGTATAAATTGTTGATTCACTTTTCACTTGATTCTAACATTAACGAATCACTGACGTAGGCACTTGTCTGTGGGATCCAGTCCCCACTTATTACTCGGAGGGTTATATTAATATTGCCTGGCAGTGGCATATGTTCTGTGGGCTGGTCTGACAACGTCTGCTCCAGATCCCACACTGGTCCTGGTCCG